CCGTCTTTAGTTTAAATACCTTATTTGGTTCTACTTCTCTATCAAGGCTTGTTGGGATATTCATACAGACTTTCTTTTTGAAATCTCCATATAAAAAAACATTTTTTATATTAAATTATTACAGTTTTCAATCAAAGTAAATAGTTAAGGATAACAAAATTTGCACAGTATTAATCTTGGTTACTAGTGAGAATCTCTTGGTAATCTATCCCATATATCTATTTATAGTCTTTTGCTACTAGTCTCGTTTTATATATTTTGATTGTCTCATCTATTTTGTATTTGATTGTAAAAACCTATTTGCATCCCACCAATTTCTTTCATTTGGGTAGATCCACCATTTCATGTCTGGTTTTTCTCAAATGTCTATATTTCCATGTTGATATTATTTTTTTAGTTTTCAAAAATATGTATCAGAAAATGTGTTAGGAATAGATTCAATAGTCAAACTTGTGAGAAAATTTTTTTGAGGTGGCATGCACTTATCAAATAATACAAATTGCAAGTTAGGATAAAGATGGTTTTTAGTACATTCTCTTGTACTTTTACAAAGTACAATAGGTATATTATTATCATACTGTATAGGTTTTTAGGGCTCACCTCAGTTCCAGGATCAACGTCAGATTCTTGGATCGACTTAGTCTCAGTGCTCGACATCTTCCTCCTTGTACGCACCTGAGAAAACTTAGGGCTTGGTATGATTTCTTGGATAGATGAATTTTTTTATGAGTTCTGAAGATTCTTTTGTGGTATTGGTGTTGGAGTGTGTGGCAGAAGGTTGTGTGGCAAAAGTGCTAGAGTAAAATTTGTTAAGAACTCTACATCTTTATGTTCCAATATAGGCTCTCCCTTAAGATAAAGTTGAATGAAGTAGGATTCTTATTCAGCAAAAATAATATTTAAAAACACGGAATTTATAGACAGGTAGATGATGACATTTGCATCCCTTTTGAGAGTAGTACTCCACAGATATACATTTCATGGCCAGGAGATCAAGTTTCTCTTTTTAATATGAATGAACATGAATGAAGATGATACACACAAATATTCAAGGGAGAAGATGGTTTGTAACACGTACTATTGGGTACATTTAAAATGCTTATGGAAGACCTTTAAAGTCAAGAATGCTAGTAAGCAAATGGTTAATAATGTAGGTGCCAGAAAGGACGATTTTGCTCTAATATTGTTTTGTAACATTGTTTTCGAAAATAAAACTCTGGTTGTGACTAAAAGATGATTATTCTTGTGTTTCACTACTCTATTTTGTTGTAGAGTATGGGCGCACAATGATTTATGAAAA